AGCATTTTAATCGCCGTTGCCGGGACTCGCCGGCACATTTATGGATTGTCGGCATTTTTCCAGAGGGTTTTCAAGAAACAAGAATTTCAATTTGTGTAAATTAGTTATAAAAATCTATATGCGTGTAAAGTGAGCGCTGATGTCTAGCATAATCGAATCGGGATTTTTACAGGCTCGGTTCTCCGGACCGTGAATTCTATGCAAATTTACAACGTGCAAGGCTGCACGATGCACAATGAAACACGAGAAGCCTGAATGAAAATTTAATTAACTTTTCATTTTATTCGCGGCTGGAATACGATCTCTCAATGAAAAGTACAAGTTGCCAATTAGTTCCAACCACTAGAAAAGAAACTCAAGGAATCGGGATTTGCATAAGGATCCACGGTCTACTAATTCCGGCGAACGCGCCGATCGTTAAGACCAAGCGAGCCAGAATTTCTCGCGCGTGGCGCGCAGCCTAAATACGATATCTCGGTCTTAGGTTCGGGATATCAGAGAATTCAAGAGTGAATTGAGAAGGAGTGATACTCAGAGTTCGGGTTTTCCTAATTCCTTCAAAGTTAGGGCGGTGGATTTCATCAAATTAACACAACCTGCTGCATCATTGCTTCCTTCTCATCAATCGCGCGAACATTCGTGACTAGCAATAATAACTTCGTCATTTCCAATGTTCAATCATTTCCTCCCATTTGCTTATCCGAAACGATTTTTTATTTTCCCCAAACAACAATACAATAATCTCGCCGTCATTCACTCCCGCTCTCAGTTTCCTTCTGAATTCAATGATCCACCGCCGGTGACAGACTCGAAGTCCCAGGGTTCCTATAGATCCACCGATATGCGATCGTGTGTCTTTTTGTCGGACCCATTTCCGTCCAATTTGGCCGTTTCCACGTGAAATTCCACGCAAAAACAGTCAGTCGAATTTACGAACGACGACCACAGCGCGGAGAGCGAAAAGGTGAGGGACGGGGAGTGTGAGACAGGAAAAAAAGGAGCAGCCGCGGACAGGTGGGTAAATTGCTGATGATCACGGCTTCCTGGAATCGTGGGAGGACCAGGAAAAAAGGAGACTAAGAGCCGCGCAGGGCGGTCGGGCCTCACGGTCCCCGGTTCTCTGGTAAAAAATTATATACCTCCGGCGTTTTCTTTTTTTTCAAAAGGCTTTATCCGCGCGCGCGCGAGCGCGTGCTTGGGCTCAGCTGAATACGATATCCCCGACAGGTACAGTCGATATCCTGTATCAATTTCTCGCGCACCGCGTCGCATCCCAATTTCGTTTATCCATTGTTCGCCGCAACAATGTAGCCGACGAAAAAATTACATCATTTGACGAAATGGATAGATGCTTCCTGTGCTCGAGCGGATGAGATTCTCTCTTTTCCTTTTTTCTTTTGCCCTATTTGGTCGAGCGCGTCGAATACGTGGTTGGCTCGAGATGCAACCTTATTGGCCTAGTTTGCACCGCCGGAAACAATGCTGCGGAAGGGATCACGTTCGATCGATAAATTAGGGACGATTTCCGTATATCGCTTGGAGATAGTTTCCCGTGATGGTAAAGGGTATTTGTGCGAGGATAATCCTCCGACTTTCCTGCAGGCTGATCCTCTTTTTCTATTAGTCAATGCCTCAGGTAGAGGAAGTGCGATTTGATCGCTAGACCACGAATTTTCATACAAATCAGCGTTCTAAACGCTGATTTATGAAGGAGTATAGTAGATACGATTTTCTTTTCTCCAATAGAAATTTCGTTTTATTCTTAACGAAAAATATGCCCGATGTGCTAGATTTTATTAAAACCTTAACTCCGGCGCATTTCGCATGATTGGGAATGCCATGAACGCATAAACATCCGTGGCGCGCTGATTACTAGACCGTGGAATTGTACCTACACAATTCACCGCAGATTGATTTTATTCGATTCGCGGAGGGAGTATAATTTCATTTGATCCGATCGCGGCGAGCAGCTCGCAATCGTCTGAATTATCATCCTTACCGTGTAATAAGTAATAATCAGTCGTAGATTTCACGCATTTCCGGTAAATCCAATTAATCTGTACAATTCACGCAACGAAGTCCGCCAAAATTTAATGGAACTTCCCTTCGAATCGAGTGGCTAACCCTGGTCCAAATCGAATTTCCGTTTCAACTTGAAAACTTGTAGTTCGTGCGGCTGGTTGAGACCAATCGCATTAAACTTTCCCTGGCCGTGCCACGACCATCGAGAGAGACAGAGACTCCCGACCAGTTATTCGTGCGATATCGAGGTGAAAATCGGCGAACGAGTTTCCCTCAGATTCCGTCCGAGTGATCGATAGAGCGAGGCGAGAGAGAAAGACGCGCCAACAGGAAGAGTTCCTGGTACGATATTGTAATGGAAAAAAGAAGAGAACTGTATCGAGGGGAAGGAGGAGAAGAACGGAAAATGGATCGCGGAATGGAGCTGCGTCGTCCGCAAGACGGTCGACCACGGTTCCGAACCGGAGAACTGACCCC